TAAACAGGGCGGGCCAATGAGTAAACTGGGTGGGCCAATGAGTAAACTGGACGGGCCAATGAGTAAACTGGGTGGGCCAATGAGTAAACTGGGCAGGCCAATGAGTAAACTGGGAGGGCCAATGAGTAAACTGGACGGGCCAATGAGTAAACTGGACGGGCCAATGAGTAAACTGGGCGGGCCAATTAGTAAACTGGGCAGGCCAATGAGTAAACTGGGCAGGCCAATGAGTAAACTGGGAGGGCCAATGAGTAAACAGGGCGGGCCAATGAGTAAACTGGGCGGGCCAATGAGTAAACTGGGCGGGCCAATGAGTAAACAGGGCGGGCCAATGAGTAAACTGGGCAATGAGTAAACAGGGCGGGCCAATGAGTAAACTGGGTGGGCCAATGAGTAAACTGGACGGGCCAATGAGTAAACTGGACGGGCCAATGAGTAAACTGGGCGGGCCAATTAGTAAACAGGGAGGGCCAATGAGTAAACTGGGTGGGCCAATTAGTAAACTTGGCGGGCCAATGAGTAAACAGGGAGGGCCAATGAGTAAACTGGGCGGGCCAATTAGTAAGCTGGGCAGGCCAATGAGTAAACTGAGCGGGCCAATGAGTAAACTGGGTGGGCCAATGAGTAAACTGGGCGGGCCAATGAGTAAACTGGGCAATGAGTAAACAGGGCGGGCCAATGAGTAAACTGGGCGGGCCAATTAGTAAACTGGGCGGGCCAATGAGTAAACTGAGCGGGCCAATGAGTAAACTGGGTGGGCCAATGAGTAAACTGGGCGGGCCAATGAGTAACCTGGGTGGGCCAATGAGTAAACAGGGCGGGCCAATGAGTAAACTGGGTGGGCCAATGAGTAAACAGGGTGGGCCAATGAGTAAACTGGCTGGGCCAATGAGTAAACTGGGCGGGCCAATGAGTAAACTGGGCGGGCCAATGAGTAAACTGGGAGGGTCAATGAGTAAACTGGGAGGGCCAATGAGTAAACTGGGAGGGCCAAAGAGTAAACTGGGACAGCCAATAAGTAAACTGGGAGGGCCAATGAGTAAACTGGGCAGGCCAATGAGTAAACTGGGAGGGCCAATGAGTAAACAGGGCGGGCCAATGAGTAAACTGGGCGGGCCAATGAGTAAACTGGGCGGGCCAATGAGTAAACAGGGCGGGCCAATGAGTAAACAGGGCGGGCCATTGAGTAAACAGGGCGGGCCAATGAGTAAACAGGGCGGGCCAATGAGTAAACAGGGCGGGCCATTGAGTAAACTGGGAGGGCCAATGAGTAAACTGGGCAGGCCAATGAGTAAACTGGGAGGGCCAATGAGTAAACAGGGCGGGCCAATGAGTAAACTGGGCGGGCCAATGAGTAAACTGGGCGGGCCAATGAGTAAACTGGGCGGGCCAATGAGTAAACAGGGCGGGCCAATGAGTAAACTGGGCGGGCCAATGAGTAAACAGGGCGGGCCAATGAGTAAACTGGGCGGGCCAATGAGTAAACAGGGCGGGCCATTGAGTAAACAGGGCGGGCCATTGAGTAAACTTTCTCCTGCAATGCCCGTCCTCTCCCTCTGTTTCTCAGTGCAGATTATTTAAAGACGCCTCTGCTAATCCTGTTAAATCTTTGAATCTTGGAAAAGCACTATAAAAATTAAATGTATAATTATTATTATATTTATATGTGTGGTTTGTAGCACCGTGGTTTCTTATCACAGCACGTTCCAAAGGGGGGTTCGTTTAGCGTGAAACACTTGAAATAACTAAAGGACAAGTTAAAAAGGAAAGTAGAAAGAAAGTGAGGTCAAAGAAAAGTATCTCAGCTAAAAAGTGAGCGATGATTGAGAGTCAGAGCTCGACATTTCAGACGTGTGTGTCTCACACTGCTGTGACTTTAATTCATGTTCCTTTGTTGTTCATGTTTTATTATCTTTGCTTTTTTGAGTGTTTTTAAATGCCATTTTATAATATGTTTCTTAATGCTCTTAATGTTGTTCATGTTTGTAAAGCACTTTGAATTGCCTTGTGTTGAAAGGTGCTATAAATAAACTTGCCTTGCCTTAGCTAGGACTGCAAACTTAATATTATTATTATTATTATATAACTTTATATTAATGTAATCAAAAGTGGAATTTGGGCTAGCACAATATTTGTTACATGCAACATATGTTTAAATATTATTCTGATTGTGATATTGTGCAGCTGCAAAGATATCCCAGCTTACAAATCATATTCGGCGCAGTTAATAAATTATCTATGTTTGGTATAGATCCTTTTATAATCCCTCCTATGTCATGATATCAGTCGGTTATCTATTCTTTAACAGACAGAGAATCAGCACTTTTGAAACAGGGCTGAAACAGAGGGGATAATGGGATGCTGCAATGATCTGTTTGGTGTTTCAGCCAATCAGAGACAGGTTCTGGATATATCTGAGACCTGTAATATATTGATGAAAAACAGTATAATAGGTGACCTTTAAGTCAAGTTTTGATTGCAGGATGTTTACTGGGTGATTTCCACACTTTGGTATTAAAGGTGGGTAGGTAAGAATGGAGAAACCAGCTCGAGTGCGCTAGAATTTGAAAGTACACAACCGAAAAAGATCTGCCCCTTCCTTCAGACTTCCTTACAGAGCCCCTCCTCCAACACACACGAACGTGCACATGACCAATGAGGGCACGAGATAAGTTTGTGCACAGATGGAAGGCTGACAGGCAGGTAGGCCATCCAGTTATTTTAGCCGGGCCGGCTCAGATGATTGGTCGTGCTTTTTACAGTACTACGGCTTCTACAGATGAAATATTTGTATGTATTTATTGTCAAAGCATTTAATATATTCATTGCTATCGGGATGTTAAGAGCATTCCATGGAATATAACAACAAGTGTTTCTGAAGTGAATTACCTACCCCACCTTTAATAGGTTTATTTCAATAACTTTGTTGAGCTTGTTTTGAGCTCTATTTCTATCTCACTGAACATAGTCCCTGCATGTGAACTGGTTCAGCTGATAAGGCTGGTTATGACTCAAGAAAGGTGAGGGTGTTAAAGTCCAAATATGAAGTCAGACTGCCAGATGCCATTTTACACCTTGACGGAGCACAACAGGGTGAGTGTTTCTGCTTTCTAACACATTATTTACTCTGTTTTACTGGATGTCAGAACATCAGCGTCCTAGAGTCCAAAGAGACTTCTACAAGTGGTGTAAACTTTATTATTTCCTGTTTTCTGATTCATCAAAGTAACATAACATGCGACAGCCCAGCGCAGTCAAAATGGGGAGCGGCCTGTCTGAAGTCTGACTGATTTGATGTATTTTAACCAAGTGTTAAACTTTCCTGTCGGCTCCCAGACCGTAGTGGAGGAAACAGGGGTGACTCTCTGCAGTCTTCCAGGGCCGAAGCAACAAACTTCGGGTTCAATAACCCACTTTTCAATAAGGCAGACAGGCGAGCTCTTCTTTGGGAGGCCGTTGCATTTATTAAGGTCGTTGTTACAGATCTAACTTTGAAGACACTCGATAGACCTTTGCTGCTGCTTCGTTCACTTCAAAAACACACACCACCGCTCGCTCACTCTCCCTCGCTCTACCATGCGCACACCAGTGACGTGCGGTGAGGTTCATGGCTGGTGAGGCACTGACTCTTTCAGAGTCAGATTTACAAATATTATAGCCTATTTTGACCTTAATCGAAATATTCTGTTATTTTCAAACGTTTTTTTAGTCTGATGCTATGATTAATTTTAAACAGACCGATCAACAAAAGGATACCCAAAATCTAAATATTGGATTGTTCTTTCTAAGTAAGATCCCATTTTAATTAGAGTTGTGGTCTTACCTTGACTTGAAGATGAACAGAAGTCCATGCTATCCTTCTGGACAACAATCTCTATTACTGTTTTGTAAAAGTCGTCCTTATCTTCCTGTAGTTTCAAAAGTCGAGTTTGTTGTTTGCGGTAGAATAACAGTAGCAACAAGAACCTGTGGGCTCACGTGCGCCCCCTTCAGTGCGGCAGAGGTTATGGCTGCCTCCCCTTGTGATTTTTTCATTGCCGTTGTATATGTGTAGCGAGCCTAAATATCATATATACGTGAAATAAGTTATTTAGAGACTATGGATGGCGAGGATAAATGTAATAAAGGGATCTACAAACATTACATTGGTGACCTACAGTGAGATGGGAACAGGCATGCGCTTATGGTTCGCTTTCCAGCCCGTTTCTGTGGGGTGACGCATTCTGAAGTGAGGCAGATCTCATCTGTGCCTCACCTACCCCACAGTAAATGGCTTGAGCGCGCTCACAAAATAAGTGGCCGCGCTAAATTAGTGCCCGCGCTCCAGCAAGTTACTGTGGGTTTACGAGAGGCAGAGCTTGTGCCTGCCTCACTTCTCATCGCTCCCGTAGCGGAGCTCGGCAAATTTGCTGATTTTTACTATAAAATGCGATTGGAATCATACAGAAATCACATTTACACAAGATCAGTGGAGACATTTTATTATTATTATTTTTTAGTTTTTCTTTAATTGTTTTTCCGTTACATTGGAGTATGACAGGTGAGGCTCTGCCTCTCCTGCCTCCACTGACTGCACGTCGCTGGCGCACACACATGCAGCCCCCCCCTCTCTCTCTCTCTCTTAAAGGGATAGCTGCCTGACTCTGCATGACCCTAATATCATAACACAAGTTTATTATTATGATGAAACAAGTGTGTTATTATAATGTGTGTGTGTGTGTGTGTGTGTGTGTGTGTGTGTGTGTGTGTGTGTGTGTGTGTGTGTGTGTGTGTGTGTGTGTGTGTGTGTGTGTGTGCGTGCGTGCGTGCGTGCGTGCGTGCGTGCGTGCGTGCGTGCGTGCGTGCGTGCGTGCGTGCGTGCGTGCGTGCGTGCGTGCGTGCGTGCGTGCGTGCGTGCGTGCGTGCGTGCGTGCGTGCGTGCGTGCGTGCGTGCGTGCGTGCGTGCGTGCGTGTGTGTGTGTGTCTCCAGTGTGTCTGGTTTATCTCTCAGACTGGAGAAGATGAGTGGTTTTAAAGATGAGGAAGAGGACACATCTTCAGTCTCCAGCTGTCTGTCTCTGAAGAGTGACTGGTCTATAGGTCAACCTCTAAACTTCAGGAATGAACCTGGACCCTCAGACACAAAGTAAGAGTTTCTGCTGTAACCTGACCTGAAGAGGATCCAGTTTTTATGTTATCTGATAATCTAACCTGTTCTTTAATGATCGCAGTAAAGAAACTTAGTAACAGTACAGTAACAAAGTTTAAACTCTTGATCCCTGGCGTCATCAGCGATAGTAAATAATCTACAAACAGACAGAAGTCAAAATGTGCTCTCTGAATGAACTAATGATGTTTAAAACATGTGTTGTTTCCACAGACAGAGAGCAGAGTCTCCAGTCCCCAGCTGTCTGTCTCTGAAGAGTGACCGGTCTAATGATCATCCTCCTCTAAACTTCAGGAATGAACCTGGACCCTCAGACACAAAGTAAGAGTTTCTGCTGTAACCTGACCTGAAGAGGATCCAGTTCTTATATAATCTAATATATTAAACTGTTCTTTAATAATATCATGTGTGCAGTATAGTACAGAACAAAGGCAGCAGAGTACAGCAAGCTAACATTATTTGAGGATATTTCAATATGCATTTATAGCATCATTGTATCAGTGGCATCAAAAGGTTTTAAATGGCAAAGATATTGATAAATACTCACTAAAAACTAAATATATCGTCAAAACATTATTTACTACTTGGGCATGTTTATGATGTTTATTTTAAAGATGTTTATTAATGATAGTGATAACCTGGTGAGCTGGTTGTGTTTAGCATTAGCAGATATAACAGAGCTTTGTGTGATTACATGTAGAGTCAATAGGCGCGTTCACACCGGAGTACTTTGGAGTACTTTTCCCACAATAGTTCATCAGAACTACGATATATTTGCGTTCACACCAAAAAGCCCCAGGAACTAAAGTAGCTCAAATTAGTTCGTCCGACCCGCTTTTCAGTCCCTGCTAGAGAGCAGGGACTGTTGTGGGAGAAAATAGTTTGTACGTCTGATTGGCTGTGCGGAATGCAAACCACGCCCGTTTGACTCTGAATTTTTTTTTGGAAGCGGCCATTGTATTTGCTCGCTTCGGGCAGCGCACCCGAAGAGATTACTTTTGTGAAAGCATTTAGCAACACTAAATAAATCATCGGAGCGGTGGAGTGATGAGGATGTGTCGGCGCTTCTGACGATTTACTCGGAGGACGCGAAGCGCCGCATTCAGAAGCTTCTACTGAATGCAGTTTCCGTGGTTCAGCATAGTTAGCAGACCTGGCAAAGTCATGTCGGGACGACTACGAAGGTAAAATAAAATACATGCACTGCACTGTTTTAATCTGCACAATACTGGTCTTAGATGTACTTTTATTTGCTCAGTAGATCGAGCTAGCCATGCTAGAACTTGCTAACGTTAGGTCCAAGCTGGCTAACAACATCTAGCTAGCTAGCTATTCTCAGCCATGCCCGCTATGAACACGTTTTGACTTGTGAATAAGTGTGCAATGTTCTGTAATTTGCTTCACTAACTAATGGCACTAATCGTGTGTTTCAGGCGAGGTGTTTCTCTCAGGATTAGAAACTAGTTTTCCCCTCCGGGATAAAACGATAATATAACGTTAGCAATTAGCATGCTAGCTGGACATAATGCTACCTCTGTATTGTTACCTCTAACAATACATTGTAGTTGCTATAATTTCAAGTAATTTGCAACATTCATTCTACATGTTAATGGTAAAAGCTTAAACAGTTGATTACCTGCATGCCACAAAGACTGATGTTCTAATATTTTTGCACATTTAAGTAGAAATGTAATTGAAATTCTATTTAATTTTCCTTTTTTTTATTGATTGTTATAATTGTACTCAGCCATGTTATGTTAGATGTCAATCCACTTACACTGTAACTACTCTGGCCTTGAAAGAAGGTTACACATCTAACTGATGTCCACTAATCCCTATAAAACAAAGTTCAAGCATACATTAAGCACAAAACAATAAATAAGGGCACTTTGATATTTATTTTTCATTTGATATTATTTGATCCTATCTTATCTTCTACTTTACACCTGCATTTTGTACACTGTCCCTGCCTGCACCATGTCCAATGTTGGACAATGTTGTCTCGTTGTTGCGATTAAACTGATCTTGTATCTTGCATATTTCACCTTAGGAAAGTGGGCACGCGATGACAGCTTCCTTGACACCATCATGGCGATGGACCGCCGTGCCATGGTCAGCAAGGAGAATGAGGACCTGCGTGCCAAGGAGATGCATGATGAACGGCTGCTGCATTCACACAAGGCCCAGGAATCGGACGACCAGCAACAAAATACCTTTCAGGCTGGGCTTCTGGCAGTGCTAAGCGAGCTCATTAAATCCAACAGGCCTTCAATACAAAAATTAAGAAAAACTTGTCGTCGTTGATAAACTGTCCAATGACTTGTTGGGAGGCGTGTGGTGCAGTGGTCTGGTGCGTTGGTGTTCGGATCAGGGGAGCACAGGTTAAAACCCCACTGCAGTCAGGATGTCGTTGTGTCCCTGGGCAAGACACTTCACCCCAAATTGCCTACACCTGGGACAGTTAATTTTGTATTATTGTGATTATATATATATATGCCACTGTTATTAATACTGACACCTAACTTTGCACTAAGGTGTGTCTGCTGCTGAGCCTAGCTATTGTTATTATATATATATATATATATATATATATATATATATATATATATATATATATATATATATATATATTGCCACTGTTATTATATTGTTTTGATACTACTGACACTTATTGATCTGCTGCTGATAAATAAAAGAGAACCTACATGCACAGCACTAGCATCATGACTGTCTTCGTTTAAACCAGCAGCAGTGCAGCGGTACACAGACTAACCTGTGTGTGTAACGTAGTTCTTCAGGTGTGTATGCTTAACATGTAGGTATTTATCACAGTAAAGATGGTATACAAAAGCTTTTTAAAGAGCTTTCAACCTCATCCCATTGTCTTTAACACACATTTAACATAATAATATACTCATTAATATACAAATATACAGTATGTGTACTGTTTTGATACTGACATTTAATCTTTGCACTAAGATGTGTCTTCACTATTGTAATTGTGTCTGTTGACTGGTAAATAAAAGAGAGAACCAAATGCACTGTACAAAAGATCAGCTTTATTGTCAATTTACAATTTCCATGCTGTTCAGATGCCTCTCCACAACGTTGCTTCCAGGCGAATACAGAGGAGTTGAAAAGAGCCCTTGGACATTCGGAAATCTTTGATCCACTGCACATTGGTGTACGTTGGCACCACCTCCCACCAGGCCGACGTTCTATTGTTCACCCAGAGTTCCGTAGTATTCGCATATCTGGAACACATACAAAGACACAAATTAGCCCTACATAACTCCATAAATCCTACATTAGATAGTATTAATGTGATTTAATGAACGTACCATTGCTGTTCTTTGGGCGTGATAACGGCCATCATCCTCAGCTGTCCTACGGCGAAACATGTCCATAGCGTGTGCTTTCGTGGTCCAATCCTTTTGTTAAGGCTTCTTAACCGCCTTCGCCTCCGACTCAGCATTTCTATTGCATTTGAATGGTCGATCTGTATTTGTATTTGTGGCTGAGTTATTGGCTTAAATAACTCAGTTACGAAGCTGTATAACACGACTACCAAAACGTCAACTCCATACCGTGTCTGAGGTCAGAAGGTAAACAGAAGCATACAGCGGAAGCGGAAGTTTTTTTTCTTCTTCTTCTTCTCTCGGTTTTTTGGCGAATTGCAACTTTAAGGTGCATACCGCCACCTACTGTACTCGCCGTGAAGTTGTTTGCGGCCTGCCAGTAAACCCAAAGCAGAAGAAGAAGAAGAAGAAGTGACGTCAGCGGCTCATTTGCCTAATCCACCCCCAGGAACTCATTTTGGTGTGAACGCGATCTGCTTTAGTTCATCAGAACTAAAAGAGCTCTCATGAACTAAAGTTCTCATGAACTACTGTGGGAAAAGTACTTGGTGTGAACACCCCTAATGCAAAGACCCAGATCCGTGCCTGGAGACACCAAGAAAGTGAAGAGGTGAAATTCATGTCACCTGCGTATTCGTGCAGCGTGACACATTTCATCTTTCATTTCATTTCATTTGCATTTGTTCCGTTCATGGTATGCACAACTTAATGTATAACAAATATTTACAAAACATGTCTCTATGAACACACCATTGACCGAAAAGCAGCAGGGAGAAGAAAATAATCTTATATGACCTGCCCCTTTCTAAAAACATAGAAATAGATGGTCTGTCCTTCATATGTTCTTATTCACAGCCACACATCACAGTATCGTAGGATAACAAGAGAAACACAAACACTTACTAACAAAAATACTTAGTTCCCACTCGACAGTTAACGGAAAGAAACAAAACAACAACAACAACACCAAAACATCACATGAACAAGGAAAAGTGCAACACCCTCATCTGAGTCCTACTGGAGAAGAAGAGTCTTGAGAGTGACGTTGGTGACGCTCTGTCAGTTGGTGAGAATCAGCTCCACTAATGTAAAGTGCTATAAAGGATGTGTTCATCTCCACAGAGGGAAGAGGAAGAGTGGTGTTCCTGTGGAGGAGCAGCTGTCCAGCTGTGCTCTGTGTCAGGACGTCCTGAAGGATCCAGTCTCTACCAGCTGTGGACACTGGTTCTGCAGACAGTGCATCACCTCATACTGGGAGCAGAGACCTCCATCAGGAGACCCCTCCTGTCCCCAGTGTGGAGAAAGATCCAGAACCAGAGCTGGACTGCAGACAGCCAGTCAGACCAGCTCTGTACGAGGTAAGAGGCCGAACACACGCAGCGTTTTATTCCTCTTCCTGGTTCATTTGGTCTTGATGAGGTATACTGTTGTAGAGCATAGACAGTAAGCTGTTTGCAAAACATTTAAACTCAGTCTATTTTTATTGGTTTTATTGTTAGATTCTCAAAAGCATTTTCTGATTCTCTCCCGTTTCCTTCTCTTTCAGCAGATAGTGGTCTGCAGGAGGTTTTAGATGAACATAGGCTCAGTCTGAGGAGGAGATGTGAACGTGTGACTGAAGGAACTGATCAAAGTGAAACCCTCCTCAACAGGATCTTCACTGAGCTCTACATCACACAAGGCCTCAGTGAAGAGGTTAATACCCAACATGAGGTGAGGCAGCTGGAGACAGCTTCCAAGAAGGAGACCCTCCATGACACTCCAATCAAGTGCCAGGACATCTTTAAAGCCTTACCTGACCAACAGACTCACATCAGAGCGGTCCTGACCAACGGAGTCGCTGGAGTTGGAAAAACCTTCTCAGTGCAGAAGTTCACTCTGGACTGGGCCGAGGGTTTGGAAAACCAAGATGTCAGTCTGGTGATCCCGCTCTCCTTCAGGGAGCTGAACCTGATCAAAGGTGAGCAGTACAGTCTTCTCAGGCTGCTCCATGTTTTCCATCCAACCTTACAGAAGGTCACAGCAGTGCAGCTGGCTGTCTGCAAAGTGCTGCTCATCTTTGACGGCCTGGATGAAAGCAGACTTTCTCTGGACTTCAGAAACAATGAGGTTGTGTCTGATGTCTCACAGCAGTCCTCAGTCAACGTGCTGCTGACAAACCTCATCAGGGGGAAGCTGCTTCCCTCGGCTCTCGTCTGGATAACTTCCAGACCTGCAGCGGCCAATCAGATCCCTCCTGAGTGTGTGGACAGGGTAACAGAAGTACGAGGCTTCACTGACGCCCAGAAGGAGGAGTACTTCAGGAGGAGATCGAGTGATGAAGAGCTGTCCAGCAGAATCATCTCTCACATCAAGAGCTCCAGGAGCCTCCACATCATGTGTCTGATCCCAGTCTTCTGCTGGATCACTGCTGCAGTTCTGGACCACATGTTGACTACAGACCAGAGAGGAGAGCTGCCCCAGACCCTCACTGACATGTACTCACACTTCCTGCTGGTCCAGACCAAGAGGAAGAAGCAGAAGTATGAAGAGGGACATGAGACGAGTCCACAGCATCTGACGGAGGCTGACAGGGAGGTTCTTCTGAAGCTGGGGAGGCTGGCGTTTGAGCATCTGGAGAAAGGAGACATCATGTTCTACCAAGAAGACCTGCAGCGCTGTGGTCTCGATGTCACCGAGGCCTTGGTGCACTCAGGAGTTTGTACAGAGATCTTCAAAAGAGAGAGTGTGATCTTCCAGAAAACAGTCTACTGCTTTGTTCATCTGAGCATTCAGGAGTTTCTGGCTGCAGTCTACATGTTGCACTGTTACACCAACAGAGACACAGAGGTACTGGAGGACTTCCTGAGGAGAGACCGGGACGAAGACAATGATAGCAGTGATGATGACCAATCCCTGGATGTCTTCCTGCAGGGAGACTATAACAACAGCAGTGATCAGGATTATCCATCCCTGGATGTCTTCCTGAAGGGAGCCATGGAGAAATCCCTCCAAAGTAAAAATGGCCACCTGGACCTGTTTGTCCGCTTTCTCCACGGACTCTCTCTGGAGTCCAACCAGAGACTGTTAGGAGGCCTGCTGGGTCGCACAGACAACAGACCAGAAACCATCCAGAGAGCCATCAACAACCTGAAGGAGAGGAGAAGTGAAGATATCTCTCCTGACAGGATGATCAACATCTTCCACTGTCTGACAGAGATGAAGGACCACTCAGTACATCAGGAGATCACAGAGTTCCTGAAGTCAGAGAAGAGATCAGAAAAGGAACTCTCTGAGATCCACTGCTCTGCTCTGGCCTTCATGCTGCAGATGTCAGAGGAGGTTCTGGATGAGTTGGACCTGGATAAGTACAACTCATCATGGCCCGGACGACGGAGACTGCTTCCAGCTGTGAGGAACTGCAGGAAGGCCAAGTAAGTCCAGATGTGATTAACTTTATAAACTAATGTGGATCAGAAGTTTAATTATTCAAATAAACACTATAATATTTCTGCTGTTTAAATACTGAGAGCAAAATAAAACCAACACTGTTCTTCTATTTATTTATAATAATAGTTAAACTGAAGCGTTCCTCTCTTCATATTGAGTGATGGAGGCGACATGTCAAACACATGAAGGACTTGAGAGGTTTCTCTGCATGTGATCACACAACACATCCTCACTCCCAGGTCGGCGTATGTTGACGTTATGTCAAGGTCCCCTGTGGTCTTTTTCCAACGCAAGGGGGGCGGCCCTTAGCGTACATTTTCAACTTTCCGGGATGTCCATAGGCTTCTTGAGATCGCGAGCGAATGCTTCCCGCCGCGGGCCATTCTCTGCTGAAGCATACGTTGCGAGACTGCATTGCATTAAAAACATTATGCTCTCTATATATTGTCTTTATTATGCTTTAAACAGTGTCTCGGGCTTTGGCTATAGGGCGGCTCAAAGTATTTTGTCCAGCCGTTGTGAAGACTGCTTTGTTTATTGTCCTTGTTTTAGTTTTAAATAAAGCATATTCAATCGAGACATGCCAAACATGTGACGTCATATGACGCGTCGCATCTGCGCACAGGGAGCAGGGAGACCCCAAGATCCGTATTCCCCGTATTTTTTAAATAAAGAGATTTTGAATCAAGGGCGCGCATCAAACGTGTGACGTAATGTGGTATTCAAAGTATTAAAAGAGGTGAAAATCACTACAAGTCTGGGCATGTTGAGAGCTGTACATACACACAAGGGGAGTCAGTCAATCGGTTCATAAGAGCCAGCATGCGGGATTCTGGGATTTGTAGTCTTTCTAGTTGCGTATTTTTCATAGTCAGTTTTACGACAAACTGTGACTTTTTTGACATGGAAATTATCATTTAAGATTGACAAACATCATATGTGTAATTCGTGGCACAATTCAAACGGGATCGAAAGATAATCTTTCTCTCTCCATTGACTTCAATGCATACTTTTTCCGAAATAAGGTCCCATGGAGGAACCCGGAAGTTTGACGGACATTACCCACAATCCTCTGTTGCAACAGGCAACAGCTTCGGTTCATGTTAATTTACAAACTCTTCACTACAACCGTAGTTATATTTAAAAACATGTTAGAAGGCCTCACGAAATACTTTAATGTAAATACAAATGTAAATGTGAAGGAATGTGTGTATATTAACTGTGGGTTTTTCTCTGGAATACTGATATTCCGCTATGCACGCTGGGATTTGGTGTTTATGCGATGTGAAATCTGAAAACATTTTTAAAAAATGAAATAATACATTATTGTGTGCTTGCTTTTCTCTTTGAAAGTCATCACATAACGGCATTGTAATACACGGTTCGGCTGCATTAAATATTACATATCTGCCGTAGTTCTGTATTTATAGAGCCCTGATGAGAAGACTTCTAGACAAACAGGAACTGCCGCCAAAACTGAAAACTTGACGTGGATCTTAAATATATAAGCAATTAAACAACATCTTACATTTCTTTTCACACAATACGTCTCCTTGCAGTATCAACACTAATTCGGCTGACTTTTATATTTGATCCAATTGGTAGATAGGCTGTATTTACGCCATAACGGTGCACAGCTGATAGAAAGGGACACCTACTGGTTAAAGCACGTTATTGCGGAATGTCATTTTCGAGCCTGAAACCTGAAAAACAGGCTCAGGGCTTAACAGGTTAAGAACTTGTGGTACCAAATATTTGTATCACTCATTGAATATAGCAGGAAAGAAAATGAAGAGCAGCTGATTGACCGAGTGCAGAATCGCTGTATAGTTTAAATCTCCTTAGTTACATTGTTGTCCATTTTAGAAAAAGGCTTATTATATTTACAGCCCTAATAACATTAATTTTCTGGGCTCAATATGTGTCTTGGCTGTTTTCGTTGTGATCGCTAAATTCACCTTGTTTATAATATTATCACTATAACACTGACCCAGATCGCTGGATTGCTAGAAACACCGCTGTCATCAGACTGGCAAGGGCTGTTCCATGCTCTGCTCAACCTCCCGCCTTCCCAATGGACTCAGTAGCGCCCCCTGCTGCCGTGGAGCATGTGTGAGTGAGCATGTGTGAGTGTGTATGAGCCAGCCACTGCGGAATATTACTGCCAAAAGTCACGTGACTTTTGGCAGTAATATTCCGCCGTGACAAGAAAAAGTTTTGTACTTGTAAAACCTATGCTGAATTTGTCTCTGAAACATGATTTATTAGAAAAATGTTATGTGTTTGTTTGATAGATACGTTTTTTCTTTGCAAAACTAAATGCATTAGTTTGTAGATGGTGTTTTGTATTTGCAAACCACATTGTGTTTGTTAGTGAATCATGAGGCATTTGTAAAACCTGTTTAGTTTGTTTGTGGAGTTATGGCAGGAAATTAGCTCCATATAAATGTCCTGCATTCAAAATTGTCAATTGCCCAAGTGAAAAGTATTATCATCTGAAAGTAAAATGAATCATCATGTTATTAGTAGGGCTGTCAGTCGATTAAAATATTTAATCGCGATTAATCGCATGATTGTCCATAGTTAATCGCGATTAATCGCAAATTAATCGCACATTTTTTATCTGTTCTAAATGTACCTGAGAGGGATATTTTTCAAGTTTTTAATACTCTTATCAACATATGAGTGGACAAATATGCCTTATATGTTTGTTTATTATCATTTGAACAATGACAAATATTCTCATGAATATTAAACACAACAACCTCTGAACATTACAAATATTCGATTCAACCTGGAACCTCTCATACAATAATACAATACAAAGTGTGTGTGTGTGTGTGTGTGTGTGTGTGTGTGTGTGTGTGTGTGTGTGTGTGTGTGTGTGTGTGTGTGTGTGTGTGTGTGTGTGTGTGTGTGTGTGTGTGTGTGTGTGTGTGTGTGTGTGTGTGTGTGTGTGTGTGTGTGTGTGTGTGTGTGTGTGTGTGTGTGTGTGTGTGTGTGTGTGTGTGTGTGAGAGAATGTGGAGACACTGTGATGGATCGTTGGAGCTATGTGCAGCTCAAGGCATATCTGCTCGAACGGGAGCTGCCTGGACGCTACAATCATGTTGCGCGCACTATCCGTGCTGAGTGTGCTGACTTTTCGTACAATGTCCCACTGTCTGGCTACCTGCATAAAGTCAAGTGCTCGGCGCAGTTGCCGGCGAAATGTCATTGAAACAGCTCCTTATATCCGTTAGCGCAGCTAGCTAGCACCAGATGCTAACAACAACAACACATAAGGTGTGCCTCGCTCACGCGAGTCGTGACACACATACACACATACACACATACACACATACACACACCCTCCCGGTCCTCCCGATGGCCAGTCCGGGCCTGCCGGTGAGCGTGGAAGTGTGGTCTGCCACAAGCGGGCGGCAGGAGCGGGGCTGTGCATCAGCTTGTAGATGGTATTTTAAACTCGATGCGCTCTGAAACTACGGGGCGGCCGAGGACAAAAAATACACATGCGTTAATCGCGTTAAAATAATTAGTGCCGTTAATTTTTTTTTGCGTTAACGCGTTATTAACGCGTTAACTTGACAGCCCTAGTTATTAGTATTAAATACATATAAGTATTTTTACAACTTGTATTTAGAAATACTCTGTTGTAATTATTGATGCATAAATGTGTTCATCCATTCAATGTGGCATCTGCTATAATGGGGTTAATGTATGATATTACTTAATAATACAACACATTATAATAAATGGTATGATAATTATATTTTAATTGTATTCATTTCTTATTTCATAGTTTTTCATTATTATTATTTTAATTTTTATCGCTGATCTTATTTTTGATTTTGTTAATCTGTGTGAATCTGTGCTATCCTGTTTTTCACTCTCACCCTGTTGCTGTTTGAACTACTGAATTTCCCCACGAGGATTAACAAAGGTCCATTTTATCTTATCTTAATGTATGAGTTGATTTACTTCGACCTACTGTACTGTGTAAAAACACCACAATAATATTACAAAAAATATACTGCATAAAGCAAACTATTGTAAAGGTAAAAGTATGAGCATAAAAAGAAGTGTAAACATTTACATTATTATTATGATTATTTAATATATAAAGACTATATATTATTGAATTACAAGTAAGATAATAAGATTAGATATACTTTATTTGATCTAAAATATTGATGTTTTTTCGTTATAGTAGCGTGTGAAAACCATAACAAATAAGTGATTAAATGCTCTTCAGCAAACACAACTGCAGAGCTGCAACATTGCAAACAGACTAAGTTCTACTGTACTGTATTTGTGAATGAAGCGCCATCTCATGGTTAAATCCTGTAATTGAACAAATGGGGGAAATTTGGCAACGCCCTCTAGCAATTTGGCAACGCCCCCAGCCTATGGGATCCGCTGGGTTTTTGGTTGGAATCCACTGGGTGGAGTCCTTTCTGGAGTGCTACATCTGTAGGTGTGTAAACACACAGCTGATCACCTGAGAGCTGCCGTTTCATTCAGACTATTTTAAAAAAAAGAAAACGGTCTGATCTTAACATTGCACAACAATGAACTCAATGTGTGATTGTTATAGCAGTAATATTAAACACTAATAATACAGTAAACTATTAACAATAGTATAATACTAGAGAATGCAATTCCTGAAGAAATTGCTAGTGGGAATGCTTTATGCTGAAAATCTGACGCTAAACTGCTATGCTGAAATGTAATGTGTAAGAAGGAAGTGAAGAATTTAGATTGAAATGATAGATGAACACTGGGGGCTTGAATGTGTGATGAGAGAAGAAAAGAAAGTAAAAAGGCTTGGAAAAGCAGCAGAATATTTGAACTGCAAACTTTTGAACTTGATGGTGAATAATCTGTCGCCATGACAACGGCATTTGATGACATCCCATAATACGCTTAGATGGGTGGGTGGCTGCATCGTTACCAAACCTGTGAAGTTTTGGGCTGTTTGGAGCATTTTTACTGAAGTTATGAGAAAAACGCGTTTCATGGCGAGCCTTGTGTTACCATGGCAACGGCATTTGAAGAAACCCCATAATTCACGTAGAACTGTAGAGGGCTGTACCGGTGATATACAAGCGAAGTTTGGAGGACGATCGGACCGTGTCCATTGGACTTACAGCGACATCGTGCTTCATGGCGAGTGGTCTGTTGCCATGGCAACGGCATTTGATGACACTCCAAACACACAGCTGATCACCTGAGAGCTGCCGTTTCATTCAGACTATTTAAAAAAAAAGAAAACGGTCTGATCTTAACATTGCACAACAATTAACTCAATGTGTGATTGTTATAGCAGTAATATTAAACACTAATAATACAGTAAACTATTAACAATAGTATAATACTAGAGAATGCAATTCCTGAAGAAATTGCTAGTGGGAATGCTTTATGCTGAAAATCTGACGCTAAACTGCTATGCTGAAATGTAATGTGTAAGAAGGAAGTGAAGAATTTAGATTGAAATGATAGATGAACACTGGGGGCTTGAATGTGTGATGAGAGAAGAAAAGAAAGTAAAAAGGCTTGGAAAAGCAGCAGAATATTTGAACTGCAAACTTTTGAACTTGATGGTGAATAATCTGTCGCCATGACAACGGCATTTGATGACATCCCATAATACGCTTAGATGGGTGGGTGGCTGCATCGTTACCAAACCTGTGAAGTTTTGGGCTGTTTGGAGCATTTTTACTGAAGTTATGAGAAAAACGCGTTTCATGGCGAGCCTTGTGTTACCATGGCAACGGCATTTGAAGAAACCCCATAATTCACGTAGAACTGTAGAGGGCTGTACCGGTGATATACAAGCGAAGTTTGGAGGACGATCGGACCGTGTCCATTGGACTTACAGCGACATCGTGCTTCATGGCGAGTGGTCTGTCGCCATGGCAACGGCATTTGATGACACTCCATAATACGGTTAGATGCGTTGATGGCTGCATCGTTACCAAACCTGTGAAGTTTTGGGCCGTTTGGAGCATTTTCACTAAAATTATGAGAAAACCGTGTTTCATTGCGAGCATTGTGTTGCCATGGCAACGGTATTTGAAGAAACCCCATAATTGACGTAGAGCTGTTGAGGGCTGGACCAGTGATATACAAACGAAGTTTGGGGGACGATCGGACCGTGTCCATTGGACTTACAGCGACATCGTACTTAATGGCGAGTGGTCTGTCGCCATGGTAACGGCATTTGATGACACCCCATAATACGGTTAGATGCGTTGATGGCTGCATCGTTATCAAACCTGTGAAGTTTTGGGCCGTTTGAAGCATTTTCACTGAAGTTAAGAGAAAACCGTGTTTCATGGCGAGCATTGTGTTGCCATGGCAACGGCATTTGAAGAAATCTCAAAACTGTCTCGTAGATGTCTTCACGGCTGGACTGTTAGCACACATGTGAATTTTGAGCACTTTTTGAACATTTTCATAGGAGTTAAAGGGACATGTGTTTTATGGTGAGGGATGCGTTTCCATGGAAACGGCATATGGTGAGATTTCAGATTTGGCGTAGAGCTGTTGAGGCATGGACCGGTGATATACAAGTGAAGATTGGGGGACGATTGGACCGTGTCCATTGGACTTACAGCGACATCGTGTTTCATGGCGAGTGGTCTGTCGCAGTTAGAACTGACTGCTGTCAGTTGGAGTGATGACATCATCGTGTTCCATTACACAGGTGTTTATAGTTGAGCTAACGAGCTCTGTAGCGATCAAAGGTTTGCATTGTTCTGAATGAGAGATAAACCTCTTACATGTGAACGTTTTGTGGAAGAACGATAACAGATATCTGTGAAATTTCAAAACGTGAAGCATGTCAAGGAAGTTGAGTATCTGAAGTGTAATTTTTGTGTACTTTCGGGTTAATAATGTGGCCTTTTTGGCAGTTTAACTAAAGGTGTGCGGCTGCTGCTGTGAGGAAATATCTGCCTGAAATTACAATGGGCTTTAATGGAGACATGTTGAACATTTTTGTCACTTCATGCCCTCAAGAGGCATTTTGTTTAATTATTTTTTGCTTAATTATTTGTCATTTTTCAAGCTACGAGATGTTTTCCTACGTTTGTCATGAAAAATTATGTCTCAAGAATGTAGGGTTTGGGAATTATGGCAGTTTAAAAAAAATATGAAGTCACATTTCAAGAATTCCCACACTCTAGCTGTGACATCACGCACTCTAGTTAATGTTAAAATCTGAAGAAAACCTCTTTAACAAGGTCTGAACAATGTTTAATATCTCTAAAAGTAAGAATCAGATTTAAAAGTTGTGTTACACGAATAATGTCAGAAAGATGTGTAACATTTTAAAGTTGGAATGAGGTTTCTGAGTGAAAGTATGAATGAACAGTTAGCAATTGAAGTCGCATGAAGATTTGTTGAAGTCTGAAGAATGTCTCCATTGACTTCCATGTTAAAAATTGGATGAATTATGGGATGTATCTCTGGAATTATGAAAGTTATGAATGATAAAAGTAATAGCCTGCGATTCCCGACCGAGCTGAACGTTTTGATGTTTGAACTGAGTTTCTGCGATGTTGAATGTGGGAGGAGAAGAGGGCCAACATAATTGGATGGAATAATAATAAGAATTTTGTCCGTAGCATAACATATAGTTGGAATGCTGTATCAGCACACACACACCCCACACACACACCCCCCCCCACACACACACACACCCCAAACACACACATCCCACACATACACCACACCCCCCCCACACACACACACACCCCTCACACACACACCACTACACACACACACCCCACACACACACACACACACACACACACAAACACACACCCCACACACACACACCCCACACACACACCCCACACCCCCCCCCCCACACATACACACACCCCACACACACATATCTGTATGTCTTGCTAGATCATTAAAGAAGTCAAGCCTCATCTCATCTCCTCATCTCCTCTATTCTGGACCTTTGGCCTTAAGCGGTGTTCTGGCCGACACACCGGGGTGAACCTAGTGATAGACACAAAACTAGTGCCAACACTGAGTTATCTCTAACTCTCCACTACACTATCAGAACATGTCAAATCCTTTTTCATCAAATGCTTGATGTTAATATAATGTTTCCTCTTTTTTTAACACATGTTGTAATATATGTTTTATTATAGACTTACTGGCTGTGGTCTCTCAGAGAGTCACTGTGAAGTCGTGGCCTCAGCTCTGAAGTCTGACCCCTCCCATTTGAGAGATCTGGAGCTGAGTAACAACGAGCTGCAGGATTCAGAAGTGGAGCTGCTGAGTTCTGGACTAAAGAGTCCAAACTGCAGACTGGAGGCTCTCAGGTCAGTTCACTGACTGCAGTTCCTATTGATCTGTTTGAGTTTATGATTTTCTGAATTTGAACAAATACAATGTTATTTTTATTTGTTCCGTTTTTGCTAATGACTGAATATTGATCAGGGTAACAGAGAGAAGGTGAATGTGTGAGGGAGAGTGTTTGAGCTTCCACAGACTCACTCTGTGCTCCATGAGTCAGTGGAGATGCTGTCAGTACTGATGAGCTGTGAGGGAGATGAAGGAGTTGTTCAACATCTGATCAAAGTTAAAGTTCCAGATTATCAGTGGATTGTTTCTGCATCATCTCTGACATTAAAACCCTGTTTAACTCTGAACAGATTATTAAACCTGAAGTTATTTCAAACAGGAACATTGTTTTCTAAAGTTACATCATGTTTTCTTTAATCAGACTGAGGAGCTGCAGTTTGTCAGAGATCAGCTGTTCTGCTCTGATCTCAGCTCTGAAGTCCAACCCCTCCCATCTGAGAGATCTGGACCTGAGTGGGAACGCTCTGCAGGATTCAGGAGTGGAGCTGCTGAGAGATCTTCTGGAGAGTCCAGACTGCAGACTGGAGGCTCTCAGGTCAGTTCACTGACTCTCTGTTACTGCTGGAGATCTCACATGTTCACTTTGTAATTGAACCTCATTTATATTCATTAATAACTTACATCTATAAAGTTATAAATGTCCTTATATTCATATTTCCTTTTAACGTACTGAAGTAAGAACTGCAGACATACATCTTGACTGTTTCTTAAAGTAACAGACCCGGCGGCAGACATACATTTCATTTACCAGGGCGGGCCCCCCCCAGGCCTGCCTGCTCGCTCAAGTTGGCACAGCGTTACAAATGTGCCACAAAACCAACCAATCGGAGAACTCGAGAAGGTCAATTCTGATTGGCTGTTTCGTCTCCAATCATATCTTCTATCTGAGATACGGAAAGAAATTTGTAACGCACTGGATCGTGGACGTCATTGCCCAGGCATACAAGGCGAATGACCGTCCCTTGCCACCCAGAGTAAAGTGCCATTCTACCAGGAGTGTCTCCACGTCATGGGCGACCTTGAGAGGTGTGCCCCTGGAGGACATATGTGCTGAGGCCACATGGGCATCTCCGAGCACATTCGCCAGATACTACAGGGTGAATGTTGCCGCCCCTCACCCGCTGGGTGTGGTCCTCCTGCAGAGTCCGCCTAGGCCATCCTTATAGGCGGAGTATTCAGACTTCCTCGTGACTCTGTTGGTATAGGTCATCCAGTGCTAAAGCACCGCCTCTGGCGGTCAGTAAGGATGAAATAGAACGATAGTTACGTATGTAACTACGGTTCTATGAATACTGGATGACCGCCAGAGTTTCTTGGTCACTCGGAATCTCGTGTTTCCGCGAGAAGATTCCATAGAACTGAACTCGTTGACAACACCGGAACTTATGCCTTCCGGGGTCATACGAGGTCACACGTGACTTTGTTGATATAAATATTCGACCTTCGCATGCGCGAGACAGAAGATATCCAGTGCTAAAGCACCGCCTCTGGCGGTCATCCAGTATTCATAGAACCGTAGTTACATACGTAACTATCGTTTTACATTGTGATGGGAATTTATTTATCAAATGTGGATACAGAATCAAACCATTCAGCTCTTTGTGGTATCTTATTTCTTGAAGAAAGTTCAGTCAGTCACACAGAGAGCATACAGTCTGCAGAGAGGAAGAGGAAGAGTAGAGTTTGGGTTGCATATTTAAACACAGAGAGAGGAGAAAGGGAGGGGGGAAGCTTGGTGATGATGAAGGAGCATTCTGGGAGTTAGGGAGTTAGGGAGGCCGTATCAGGAAGTCCTCAGTTCACCTGAGGTGAAGGTCATACTGTTGGTGCACATAGAGAGTCACTAACAACACTGCAACACATCTTCTTAATAAGGACTTTCCCCAAGCTTAGCTAAGAAGTGTGAGAAGTAGCAAATATAGATAAACATTAGCAAATAAGAATCACACAATGATATTATTAAAGTAAGTAAGTGAGTATAATATTTTTCTATTACATACATGATAAAGTTCACTTTCTGAAGTAGAGATTTGTCTGTTCCCATTCATTTAAATGTTGAGTAACATCTGATTGGATTATAAACAGGTTTGTGTCCTCATCATGTTTTCTTTATTCAGACTGAGGGACTGCATGTTGTCAGAGATCAGCTGTTTTGCTCTGATCTCAGCTCTGAAGTCCAACATCCATCTGAGAGATCTGAACCTGAAATACAACGCTCTACAGGATTCAGGAGTGGAGCTGCTGAGAGATCTTCTGGAGAGTCCAGACTGCAGACTGGAGACTCTCAGGTCAGTTCACTGACTCTCTGTTACTGCTGGAGATCTCACATGTTCACTTTGTGATTTAACCTCATTTATATTCATTAATAACTTACATCCATAGAGTTGTACATGTCCTTATATTCATATTTCATTTTTAAGAGTAAGAAGTAAGAACTGCAGACATACATGTTGACTGTTTCTTAAAGTAACTGTAATAGATGTTAGTTGTGAAAAGTAAATATATGTATTTGATATTTAGTAAACGATAACGTCTGAATAAAGGTCATCTGAAGTCATTTTAGTTTTACATGATAAAGTTCACTTTCTGAAGTAGACAGATGTTTCTTTTCAGATTCATTTAAATGTTGAGTAACATCTGATTGGATTACAAACAGATTTGTATCCTCATCATGTTTTCTTTATTCAGTCTGAGGGGCTGCAGGTTGTCAGAGATCAGCTGTTCTGCTCTGGCCTCAGCTCTGAAGTCCAACATCCATCTGAGAGAGCTGGACCTGAGAGGCAACGCTCTGCAGGATTCAGGAGAGAAGCTGCTGAGAGATCTTCTGGAGAGTCCAGACTGCAGACTGGAGACCCTCAGGTCAGTAAGGGGTCTCTGCTGGTTCAGCAGTATTGTATGAAACACAGGGAGGTGTTTCTCTCACTGGGGAATCACAACAGATCAGTGATGTTACCCACTGACTGCAGGCTCTTTCATTCTTCCATCAACTATAGAAGGCCAGCTGAAAATGCAAAGCCACATTTAGTAAGTAATCAACTTTCCACCAGACATATGGGATTTGACAGAAGAGTGGAAAAGGTAGTCTGTTTTTGATGGGATGTTTTTAGCTCCTTGACTAATGACTGTTACTTCCTGTAATGCAGCTGAGAGCTGTGGCAGTCAGTCGTAGTGTTTGCAGAGAAGATATGATGGGATGTAAAGCATGAGATCAGTCAGGACTCTGAAGCTGACTCAAAGAACAAACACTTATTGGATCCATAACTGTTGGATTGTGTTCATCCCTACAGGATCAGAAGAGGAGAGCCGATCAGAGCCAGGATCCAGAAGAACTGTGAGTACTGAATATCCTCCATTCATAAAGATATGAAACTCTTTCATGGAGCATGTCCTCAGAGGAAAACAACACTCTTGTTTTTCTCTCTTCATAATTTTGGCTGTTTCTCTTCACAACAACTGTCTATCAAAACAGTGACGCGTTCACTGACACTCTGTAAAATGTAAATAAACTCTGAAGAATAAAACACATGAAAACATCAACATTATAACCAGTCTGTTACAGTATTATCATCAAAATATACTTCAGTAGAAGTAGAAGTACTCAGATCTTTTACTTTAGTCAAAGTAGAAGTACTCAGATCTTTTACTTTAGTAAAAGTAGAAGTACTTAGATCTTGTACTTGAGTAAAAGTAGAAGTACTCAGATCTTGTAGTTGAGTAAAAGTAGAAGTACCAGAGTGTAGGAATACTCTGTTACAGTAAAAGTCCTGCATTCAAAATGTTCCTCAAGTAAAAGTAGAAAAGTATTATCATCAAAATATAGTGAAAGTAGCGACAGTAAAAGTAGTCATTGTGCAGATTGGTCCATTTCAGAATAATATATCTGATATGTTTTATAATGATTGATCATTAAAGTGTTCTCAAAGCTGGTAAAGGTGCATAAACTTAAAGGTGGGGTAGGTAAGTTTGAGAAACCGGCTCGAGATACACTTTTTGTTATATTCCATGGAATGCTCTTAACATCCCGATAGCAATGAATATCTGAAGTGCTTTGACAAAAAATCCATAAAAAAATGTCATCTGTGGAAGCCGTAGTACTGTAAAAAGCACGACCAATCATTTTAGCCGGCCCGGCTAAAATAACTGGATGGCCTACCTGCCTGTCAGCCTTCCATCTGTGCACAAACTTATCTCGTGCCCTCATTGGTCATGTGCGCGTTCGTGTGTGTTGGAGGAGGGGCTCTGTAAGGAAGTGGCAGAATTTTTCCGGCTGTGTATTTTCAAATTCTAGCGATCTCAAGCTGGTTTCTCCAAAATTACCTACCCCACCTTTAATGTATTCATCGCTATCGGGATGTTAAGAGCATTCCATGGAATATAACAACAAGTCTTTCTGAAATAAATTACATACCCCACCTTTAAAGTGTTCTCAAAGCTGGTAAAGGTGCAGCTAGTTTGAATGACTTTGTATAGTGCAGGGTAGCTTGTGAATTTACTCCAGGTGGAACTAAAGTCTGATTTAACACTTGATTATATTTCACATCATTCATCCAGATCTGTGAAGTAACTAAAGGGACTAAATACATGTAGTGGAGGAAAAGTACACCATGTACCTCTGAACTGTAGTGAAGTAGAAGTACAAAGTAGCCTAAAATGGAAATACTCAGGTAAAGTACAAGTACCTCAACATTGTACTTAAGTACAGCACCTGAGTAAATGTACTTAGTTCCTCTCCTGGTCTGTAAAGCTCTCCCAACATATGCAGGTTAGCATCCGGCAGCTTCTATGTGCTGGGGACCCGTACTGTACATTTCTCTCATCACACTTTGGGCTCCTCAACATGTGTGGGTTCCCAGCAGGACTCTCTGAGCTGCAGACACATTCTTTCTGTGACTTTGTTCCAGATATTTGGAGCATAATAACTGAAGCTGTTTCTCCATGTTCAGGAACTCCCATCCCCCGAGTCCTGCGGCAGGAAGCGCTCCTTCTCTCCAAGAACTCCTGGACCCTGCAAGCTGCTCCAGAACCAGAGTCCCAGTGAGGAGTCCAGCCAGTCCACCTCTCAGAGTTAAACTAAACTACAACATTATTAAAGATCATGTTGAAAGTTAAAAAAGGATGCTTTCAGACTGAATCCAGAAGTTTCTCAAGCTCTGTAATAAAAAAACAAATTTTTAAAATATATATCCATTTGTTGTACTTATATCCTGATTGCTGAGTCAGCAGTAAAGCAGCCAGGCGTTAACGGTCAGCTGGCATGTGTATCTGTTCATTGGCTCATATGTGTAGCATGTTTAATGGCAGTGTGTTGAAAATGGCTGACAGGTGAATATGTCAGATCTCTGTGTGTTACTCAGAGAACCGTGTGCAGTGTTTTAGAAAGTGCAGAGTTGAATTGCAGATTGTGTGCAGAGCTGAAAATGTGTTTAGAGTTCTGTTTGATTTGATCCAGCCAGTTCTGCCGCAGCAAAGCATAAGGGCTCAGAGCTTGGACCTATTGTGTTCACATTATATACGCTTCCTTTAGGCAATAAGGAATCACTCGGGACATTTTCATTGTTATGTGGATGATACTCAATTATACACAATGTAGACAAAAGTATTGGACCACCTACACATGAGAGAGATACCGCAGGTCCTTCCTTCCTGCAGCGGTCAGACTATATAACCACCACGACCCCTAGTAGACCCCCCACACAACAACACAGACTATAACCAGGGGTGCACACAACTTTCTCAGTGAGGTCCTCAGATGAGTACCTGGAGTCAGTGTTTGGTACTCCAACTTCTGACCATTGTTAACGGGGGGGGGGCGTCAGTGGAGTACAGCGCTTCACGATTGTTAACGGGGGGGGGGGGGGGGGTGGCGTCAGTGGAGTACACCGCTTCGCGATTGTCAACGGGGGGGTGGCGTCAGTAGAGTACAGAGCTTCGTGACCGCGGCGCGTGTGAACGTTGTGATCAGCTGTTTTAGCGCAGGGCTGCTGTACAGACCGACGTTAACAGCAGCCCTGTCTGTGCACACGGAGACCGACTCTGTCGTCCGGTGAACTAACCGCCTTCTGGAAAAGCTTCACATTTACGTCGGTACGCAAATGCGCTTTGTGACACAAGTGACGGTACGCATTTCAGATTGTTGCCGCGCATGCGTACCTGCGTACCAGTTATGTGCACCCCTGACTATAACACCCCTTGTTGTTAAATACCAACTATGTGCAAGATGTGCAATATATATATATATATATGCCGTTAATACTCTGCAATATATACCTGGCTGTTAAATCCTCTGAACTGTTACGGACCGTCTCCACAGCAGCGTTAAAAAAATCTTGGAGGTGGGCGTATCTGAAGCTTGAGGATTTTTTGCGAGCAACCAATCACATGAATCTCCCTCCCGCGACATACGAAGCAAAAAAGCCCGAAGTAAACTGGATATAAACTCCCCAAAACAGGCGAAAACCTACCACTGTCTCTGCCACCTCCCTCCATGCCTGGCTCCTCCGGTTTATATCCCGGTAGGTCTGGTCATAAAGCACCGGGTGATTGATTCGCTACCGCTAATTTCTCCTCCATTTTTTGGAATATGAGGAAATGACCTGCGGTATGTCTCTCCCAGCATACACGCCGTTTGATTGGCTAGAGCTTGAACTGTCAGATTTGCGTACACGGGATTTGATTGGCTGACGCTTCCACCTCAGCCTCAAAAGTTGAACATTGTTCAACTTTGAATCCTCAAAATCCTGAAAATCTCCGCTCGCCTGCCCACAATGCATTTCGGCGAAAAGTGAGGGAAAGTGACGTCACCCCATTCAAAGTGAATGGGCAGAAGCGTTTCAAGATTTTTTAACGCTGCTGTGGAGACGGCCCGTTACAGGATGTGTATTTTGTAAAATGTGTCACTTTTTTTTAAATGATAATTTCTTGTTTTAATCTTTAATACTTTGTTGTATGCATGCTTTAGGAAACATGAAGCTGTCTCTGGCTCTTTCTGCTGTAACAATGTACATGTATCCTCTGGGACTAATAAAGGGATTCTGATCTGATTCTGATTCTGATTACACCTACAGGAGCTTTCAGGACATCCCATTCCAAACTCTTAGGCATTCATTTGAAGTTGGTCCCCCTTTGCAGCTATAACAGCTTCCACTCTTCTGGGAAGGCTTTCTACAGATCTTGGAGTGTGTGGGTGTTTCTCAATCGCGAGTAAAGCTGCTTCAGAGCCACTATTTCAAGCATACTACGTCATCGAGTGCCGCCGAAGTACTGTTCCAATCTCCAGCATACTTGGAAATCTACCGAGCCCGGCGTACTCCGTTTGGAGAAATATCGAGGCTGCACATGAGTAGACTTCGCGGTCTTAAAATCCCCACAATGCTTTGCGCACGGACCAATTTCCCCAAATCTGTGGCGGAAGATGTAAGGCGGGGCCTCTCATATGACGCACACCTGCACACTTGCTAGCGTGTTCCACTCTTCGTTTTCCGATTGCCAGGAAGTATTCTTGACTCGCTTCTGAAGCAAGATGCTCGGCAGACATGTGCTACCAAGCAAGCGTACTCGCGATTGAGAAACACCCTGTCTGTGGGAAGCCCTTTCATCCAGAAGAGCATTAGTGAGGTCACACTGATGTTGGACGAGAGGCTGGCTCTCCGTTCTAGTTCATCCCAAAGGTGTTCAGTGGGGTTGAGGTCAAGTTCTTCCACACCAAACTCATCCACCCAGGCCTTGATGGAGCTGCTTTGTGGGGCTCAGTCATGCTGGAACAGAAAGCTTCTTCCTCCACAGACTTTCCACAAAGTTGGAAGCATAGAAATGTCCAAAACGACTTGGTAAGATGAAGCTTTAAGAATCCTCTTCACTGGAGCTAAGGGGCCGAGGCCAACCCCAGGCAGGTAACGTTCTCCTGCATTCCCCAAACCCAGACTGGTCCATCAGAGGACAGATGGAGAAGCCTGATTGGTCACTCCACAGAACACGTTTCCAGAGTCCAGTGCTTTACACCCTCCATCTGACGCTTGGTGCTCGCTGATGAAAGGCTTGATGCAGCTTTTTCTAACAATATACAATATTTTAGAGATCCATACAGTAGCTGGGGACTTTAACTATATTATGATGCTAATACTTTGCTACTTTTACTTGAGTAACATTTTGAGTACTTCTACTTTTACTGAAGTACTAGATCAGAGTACTTCTACTTTTACTACTTTTACTCAAGTACAAGATCTGAGTACTACTACTTTTACTACAAGATCTGAGTACTTCTACTTTTACTCAAGTACAAGACCTGAGACTTCTACTTTTACTCAAGTACAAGACCTGAGTACTTCTACTTTTACTCAAGTACCTCTGAAAATGACCATAAGAACCAATTTGAGTCCTTCAGTGTCCAAAACCCAACAATATTAATTTACCCATTAACCTTATAAACCTCAAAATGATGACTATGCGTTGATATATGTTGTCATTAAACGTATTCATTAATCGACTAATACTGTAGAAACAGAAACATATATAGTAGAGCAGAAGTAAAGTTAAGGTTTGTAATGTATTAGATGTATTTCTTCAGAATCATAATGACCCTAGTAGACTTCGTATGGCAGCCATAATAATAAGTGAAGCACTCAGACACATTTATATGTTTGCTGTAAAACAAGAACTTTATTGTCAAGGATTGTTGGAAAAAAGGAGAATCCTGTCCAACGTCATGCAGTTTCCCAGTTTGGTTCAGAGTGTAATGTTCAAGTCTGTTTCCCACCACCATACATATAAATTCAGTTTGACCAAAGATATGATTACATTCTGCAGCACACGGGAAGAAAATGATCACAAAGCCAAATGTACCAAACACAAACAGTCTGTATTTATCTCAGTGAATACAGACGGAGCTTCAGGACGTTGTTGCAGTCGTCATGAATCAGAGCTGAGGTGTAAATATTCAGTTTCATTCTTAATCACACGATGCAGTAACTGCTAATAAAACCCAGACACATTTAGACTGATCCATAACGCTGCACTTAACTGTATTCAAGCCGGGAACACACTGTGCAAAATACCTCAAATAACTGATTCTATAATAAAGTTTGAACATGTTTAGTTGAGTTTTTCATCTCATATTGGTTCTGTTTTTCTGTTGAGCACCTGAAGTTTACCTGTGTATGAAATGTGATATAAGAAATAATATGAACTTAAAGATCATGGAGAGTGAGTACTACGGTCAGATCACATGTTATTTTACAGTTTAAGATGAAACTCTAAATAATTGTAATCATTTCAGTCCTACAGTATATTAAACGTCTTCTGGTTGGATTTAGGTTTCTATTATAGGTAAGAAGGTAAAGGGAAAATGGAGTTTATTCCTGTTAAAATCAGGTTAAATAAATACAATATAATAAACAGAAAATAAATGAATAATATTAAAATAAAATAAAAAAGTAAATAAAAAACGTGTTTTTTGTTTTAGTAATATAAGAATATTCCTTGTAAATTAAAGATAAAATAACTAAATACATTTTGAAGACTTTTAAAGGGGACCTATCATGCAAAATGCACTTTTTGATGTCTTTAATACATAAATGTGTCCCCGGTGTGTCAGGGAACTCACGCAGCGTCAGAAAATAAAACCCTCTCTTTTCCTCCATACCCAAATCTCTAAAAACGGGGAACAACGGAGCTGATCCAGATTTGCGTCCGATATGACTTAATATCAGAAATGTGGACCCACGTCCCTATCAGAAAGTTGCTATCGGAAACAATGCCCGACTGTTTTGGACGTAATATGGTCGGTGTTTACATTAGCATCGCTAACACTCAGAGCTAACCTGTACTGGAGAGCATGTGTGTGAAGAAGCAGGAAATAAAAAGGAACTCACCTTGTGGTATAACCGGCAAGAGAGAAAGCCTTTGAGCTCCATACTGTTTCAGAAACAATCCTTGATCTAATAATCCTTGCTTTTCATCACCGCAGTGTTTTAGACAGTATCTGCCAGGTCCCGCATGAGCCGGCATAAGCTCCGCCCCCTCTTATTTTTATTTATTTCAGTTTTAAAAAAAGAAAAGCTATATTTTTATTTAGCCTTTATTTATACAGGTGAAAATCTAATTTACCGATAATACAAAGGTAAAATAAATATATAAATATAAAAAGTA